TCCCACCACTGTTTGTATGCATGTTAAACTGAAATTGATACTGTTGGTTATTCAGTTTATTTTTATACTGAGAAAAAACTAAATATTAAACTAAAAAACCACAAAATTCAGCTTCATTAAATATTTATTTTACTTAGAAAAACAAATTATAGAAAAATTCCAATGAAATACAGACACTTAAAAACAAGAAAATTTAGGACACTTCATAGCCTGTTTAATTTTTTATGAACAAACTTATTTCTACTTGAGAATTTTAACAGAGGCTTATAGTCAGATCTAATCCTCATGAACCAATGGTTTAACACATGCAAAAAAAAACCTCAACTGGGACAATTTCTTAACTTTACACAGTTTAATATGTAACTCAGAACTTAAGTTCTACCATTGGAAACAGTTCAGACTGGATACAAAAAACAGGTAATATGACGTTTATTGTGAATACTTAGTTGTTACTGGGTTTTCATTTGGGAGAATTTTATGAACTTGCAAAATATGTCACATTCCAAATCATTACTTGCCCACAGACACTAAAGTAACTGATCACTCAGCTACAAATTTTTTATTGAAATCAAAATACAGCCAGTATAATATAGAATTAAAACAGATACTGACCCCATATGTTTCAGAACCAAACTGATTCCTTCTTCAGTGGGGAACAGAACCCTGGATTTTACTGTTACATCTTCAGTGGGGAATGGCAATAAACATTATGATAAAGATATAGCCTACATATAACTCAACATGCAAACATGAATAATAAAAAAAAAAATCTAGAGGGTGATTAGCAAATTAAATACTGTAAACATTCGGACCAGTTGTAAAAGGGTAACAAGTTAAAGATTGTTTAATTGCAAAAGTTTCACTAAATTGATGTAGTTCCCCCTCTAGATTTTTTTTTAAAATGACTTCTAATGTATAAATAGTTTGTTTTTAACAAAAGTTTGCAATTGTAGATTCACTTTTTCAAAATTGAAATATGTTATTAATGATGGTGCTAACATATGTAACTTAATTTTCAATATTAATTTCAATGAAAAACTATACACCACAAAGCTAGATGAAATAAAATCTGGCCAAATATTTGGTAAAAAAAGATGAAATAAAAAAAGCCAAACAAGACACTTGCAAACATTTTGTATAATTTGATGATTTGTTATGAAACAGGTATTGAATTTTTCAAAGGCATTCTTCTATGGAGTCTTACCAAGCACTCATTCTCATAAAAATGGATATTTAGATACTACCAAGACCTGAAAAGATTAATTAAATAGTTAGAACAAACTCAATATTTCTACTTAATAATACCAAACAAATTGAAACAGCAGACTTGTCACTTTCAGAACTTAGGATTTCCTTGAACCTTTTGTTCACTCAGCTACAATTCTTAAGAATGGTGTTGGTATACTCTATACAACAGCATCTTTGGTCCTTTATTTCTAAGTTGTTTTCATCAAAAATGTTTTTTTCCTAACTTGGACTTAACTTTAGGAACCTACCTTTACTCTCCGAACTGCATAAGTATGTCCTGTGAGCTGAAATAGTGGTTGTCGGGTAAGTCGAAGATCCCAACCTCTAATCTGTCCATCTGTAGCACCCGTAACTATGATATTCTATAATCAAAGTAATATATATTTTGTGAACCTTGCAACATAGTACGTTTTGTCTGGAAATGCTGAGAACTAGTTTCTATACAGACTAAAAACTTAAAACAACTACTAAAACAGTGATGACACAATAAAGTGAAATATGCAAGTTTGTAAAGTTTTTTGCAGAGCTCACAAAGAGATTCAGTAAACAAGGATGAAACTAACAGTCACGGTTTAAGTTTTGACACATTATTTAAACACCAGTAACTACAGTCTTAAGATTCAAGGTAAATCAATTTGTACGTATGACAAACTGAAAACTTTTCTTGTAGCAGACTGAGACAGCTTGTTCACTCAACTACCATTTCTACTGGTGTTTAAATGTAGAAGGAAAGATTATTTATATAAATATATAAGTATATAATGACTTGTCTTTGATATAAGTAAGACCAAAGTTAAGTAACTCGTAGCAAGAACTTGTTGTTTATAAAAATAAGGATGGGTGAGATGAGTTATGACTAGTTAATTTGTATGAAGGAAACAAACAAGAAACAAAATTTTACAGATACTCTGCTGCCACCGAATAATCTATGGCTTGATTCAAAATCAATAGCGTTATTATTCTTTATTATATAAATGCTGCATTGTACGAATTGTATGCTTTTAAAGGCTATAAAGTAAATGTTAAAATGTGAATAATTGCTAGAAAATTTACATTACTTAATTTACTAAGATATTGAAAGACATGGAACTAGTTCTTTCACATGTTAAATGAATTACATTTTTCTACCAACTTTTAAATATATATACACCTACCTAACAGACCAGGTAGGGAGACACAAGGTTCAATTCAACACAAGCAATGAAGTTTAATATTAAACACTTACTATAGTGAACTTCTTTTAATATCTGATTTAGATTAATTAAAATGTTAATATATTTGAACAGGTAAAATATACTAATAGGCAAGAAATGTCTTAACATGCTTTGAAAATTATGAAGCTATTGGCCAGTCAGTAGCATAGAATTTGGAAACTAGGCATGCAGGGATGAAAATGCATAACTAGTTTAATAGCTAGATAATTGTGTGAAAAATATATTGTCAATGGAATACAGATTTATCTAAACAATACATTACATTTCCCATGAGAAAAACTGTCATTGTGTGTTTCTTGAAAATTGTTTCCAAGATCCTCACTGAAAATTCACAGTACAAGCTTGAGTTCTTTGGGAATTGTAAGTATACCACAACTGCTACTATATAGTAATTAAGTTAACAGTATCGATACACATCCCCAAATCATGTAAGAATTCACTTTTATTTTCATTAATTTCTAACTCAAACTACAATACCTTAAATGTACATATACTTTAGATATCCAGTTTCAAATAAATCAGAACTTGAAAGTAAATCCTAAAACCAACCAAATTTGGAAATACTGCAGGTGAATACTTATGATCCCAGTTGTATGTTAACTATTGAAAGCCAGAAGAGATGAACGTAACTACCATGTTAGGCCACTTTGTTTGAATTGCTCCATTCCGAGACAACCAGAGTATTTATGAATGCAATAATAATATTAATAGTAGTAAAAACATAAAATAATGCACCCAAACATTTTTCTTATCTGTAAATTAGTTTCAGGCTAGAAGAAAGAGGTCAACAGTTTTAGTAACTTTTACATTGCAAAAAAAGGTGTAAAAATTAGGAACTTCCACAGTTAAAATCAAAACTGGCAATTCTGCGAAGGCCAAAAAAGAAAAAAAAACTGTAAAATGTCTTTGTAATAATCTTTGTTTAATAATAATATCTCTACCTAAAATTCAGGTAAAGTATTAGATTTGTGTAATATTTTCCTAGAATATATTCTTTCAAATGTCAAATTGCACTTCCAAGATATGAACCAGCAAGCACAACCTGACATTTGATAGAATCCATATCTTGAAAATTCCCAGAGTTCGACAATGAGCAAGTTGTACATGTACTATCATGTCACAAGAGAATTTAATGTTCAACCTAGAGATATAATTCCCTACAGCAGACAGACAAACACTGAATAAAAGAGAACCTTGGAATCAATATTAGGAAATGTTCAAATGGAAAAATATAGTGCCATTGATGTTGAAAATTATACCTCCTGTGGCCTACAAGACAGGCACGTTACTAGTTTTAGTCTCGAGATAAAACTAGTTAATATTTAGTACTTAATTTAAGTTATCATTTAATAATTAAAAGTAAGGTGATTGTATAGGTTAGTAACCAATGACAATTAATATTTAATCACCAAAGCCTTACAGTAAGTATCTTATAAACTCATTTATACATTTAACTTATTTTTCAAAATCTGGTTCAACCTCTAACCTTCCTAATAGGATACACAAAAGTGAACGGAGAAAATAATAGTTTGCTTATGGAGAAGATATAAACCAGCATGTTTTTTCAGATTTTGAACTTCAGTATACTATTTAATTTTGTTTAGAAAGAACGGAAGTTACAACATGTGAATGGCATAATTCTTTAATTTATCAAATCTGGTTTACTTAATATGTATTAAATAATGCTATGCTACTACAATTGAAATAGTGTACTCACATTGTTCACGTGCATGACTAATTAACATAAGCAGTGGCTGAAAGTAAGGAGTAAAGAGGAATTTGTTGTAAAACAATAGGAATATCAAAGCAATGCAACAACTAACGGAAGAAATGGATTGGCAACTAAAGACCATGAAGAATAGAATACCAAGTGAGAGCCAAAAATGCAGATTTCCATTTTAATAAAGCATTAGTTTAAGTTGATGGAACTCCTATGTTTGAACTTCAATAATTTTTTTTAATTATTATTATACAAGACATGTAATTTGTTATACAAAAACTTTCAAAAACAAGCTAGAAGTATATGAAAATTCTTTACAATTCATTTAACTTATGGGAGCAATATTGGATGATTGGGTAATGGCACATTAATATGCGTGACATTAAGGTTTGTCTTATTCTTTTTCACTTTTGACCAATTTAGTACAAAGTATGCATAGTTTCTTATACACAGACCTTATCATATTTACACCAATCACAGCTAAGTATCTCAGAATCATGAGCAGCAATGGTCAAGTTTGGTTGTGCAGGGTTTTGGGTGCTCCAAACTCTCAAAGTGCCATCCCCTATAATAAAATAAGTGGGAAGTACACTTTAGAAATATTTATTTGCTCTATAAAAAAAAAAATAAAAAAATCTTAAGACTACAGTTACAAAACTCCTTCATGCACATATTGATAGTTTTCCAAAGATAGCCTGGCTTCAGAAACCTACAACCATGATTAAATTATTACAGAATAAAAGTCAAGCATAACTTTACCTGAAACAGATGCAAAGGATCCTTTTAGAACTGGAGCCCACACACAGCAGTAAACAACACTGGTATGTCCGACAAATGTGTTTAGTAAAACTGTAGTCTGGGGATCCCACTGAAGAAGAAGGAAAAAAAAAATTACAGATTCATAGTTTAAAAATAGTTATTGAGATCATGGAAAAAAAAATTACAGTTTATTTGTTACCATAAATAGATTTGTAGTTTAAAAATAGTTATTCAGATAATGGAAAAACCTGTAGTAAAACATACAAAACTTACTGGTAAATGTTTACTGAACGTGAAAGTATTACACCTACTTAATTATACCTTAGTTATGGAAACAAATTGTGTAATAACCATAAATTGACAAATGTGAGAATTTACTGTCACAAATTAGACTCTGGTTCATGATGTAAAAAGGTTGTTAGCCTACTCACCCATTCCTCTTTGTGCAAGTTAAGGAAAAATAGTGTTGTAGAGAAGTTGTAAACAAGCATTTCTAATAATTTTATAATATTCTGGAAATAATAGTCATTTTCTGACATTTATTTAGTGTAATTCATGAGGGGGTTGGTGAAGAATTCATATTTTCAATTGTTTACAGATGCAGGTAGTTTTGCCTGTAAACAAAACAGCCTACTTGTCAATTGTTTTTTTTATTTTTTATAATTTCTTTGCCTGTCTAAAAAACAAATCCTTTACTTTTGCCAATCATCTCTTGAGAATACATTATCCATTTTTTGATTTTTCAAGTGCTTCCTTTATTTTTTGTACAGGCCTTGGATCTTGGTTGAAATCTTATGGTGCCACATCAAGTTGTTTGACCGTTTAACAATGATACAGCTATGGAGAAGTTTTAAATATGATTGGATACTATGGATAGAGCAAGAATTAGACTATTGTGTACGAGTAGAATATATAGGTAATTTTTTTTTAGTTTCTGTCTTTTCAGTTTCTTTCATTTGTGAACTGTGAGAATGTTTCTTCAATGAGAAGAGGTCAGATACTTTGGAATAAGGTAAGCTTCTACATTTTATAGACAGGTTGAATGGGTAACAAAGAAAACTATTACAAGTTCAACAACAACAAATGTATAAAGGTTGGAGAAGGTTTTGCAATCATCAGGTAGAAGTAGTTTACCTAGGCACAGGAAGATGTATAGACAACATGAAACAAAGTCACATGACTGGAGAACTTAAGATTTAATAAAGGTATCTTGATGTCAGATTCTTTAAAATTATAATGTTTTTACTTTTATAGATATATTATAGTTTTATTGAGTTGTAATGTTTGCAAGCACGAGTTATGTTTACCAAATAAGGTTAGTTAAGTTTACTGTTTGGCAACTTGGGGAGTAAGGTAGGAGAGTGCCAAAGATTTTGATGATTGAAATTTTTGAGTGTTATTTTTTTTTATGTGATTCAAACCACATATAATCATGACTAAATAAAAATAATATTAACCTTATTGGTGAATGGTGATGGTAAAAGTTAAATATGTCACCATTTTAGCTAGAATAGATTAGCGTAGGATTACTACATATTTTAAAAAGACAAAATGGTGACCACACTGTGGTGACATTTAGCTGATGTAAGTGACTTGTTTGCGAAGTATTATGTTTGTGTGAAGTTATTTTGCAGAAATAAAACATTTTCACAACTTATTTGGATGGAAACACATAGGCACCTTTTTTTTTTCCATTTACTTCTACAGTTGTACCATTAGAGGATGCACATTTACTAATTGATAATAGATTTATTGATAAACAAATTCTGTTTATTGCCAAGATCTACTTTTATGAACGAATTATGTAAATTCATGACTGTTAACTACAGGTCCCCAATAATGCAAGTCATAGAAATATAAAAATATATTATCAATTTTACAATTAACTGTCCCAATTACCGTCCACAAATTTTGTATTTACCAAATTAGCTTTAATAAACTCAGGTAATGAAAAGAAATGGTTCCAAATTATACATCACCCAACATATCAGAAATGAACATCGTATATTAATAAGTACAATAAGTTCATAAACAGTTATAATTTATTATTCTCAATCCGAGACAGCTTATAACTCCAAAATAATTCATATCTGACATGATTTATGTTTAACTCTACACTTTTTCTTTATAACATAATATACAATTATGTTTTTTTCTTTTTAATTAAGAATATTTTTGGTTTTTATAGTAAACTTTACAAATCACAACTCTTCAGGTTCTGCAATTTACTTCATTTAACTTCTAATGTACAATTTAAAGCTAATGTAACTTAGTTTTATGTTTAGCAGAAAAGATAAGCAGTATTAGTCATTTTGGCACAAACAGCTTTGTTTAAGGCCGACTTTTTACTTTATATTTAAATTGAGGAAAGCAAACCTACTTTTACTTAATCTAGTGTTTAACACTTTCAATATGGGTCACAGGTGAAAGGCCGTGTCATCTCGTTTGTTGACT